TGTACGGTACTGTGTACTGTACACAGTGCAGTACATGCACGTGGAGCTGTGCATGTACGGTACTGTGTACTGTACACAGTGCAGTACATGCACGTGGAGCTGTGCATGTACTGCACTGTGTACTGTACACAGTGCAGTACATGCACGTGGAGCTGTGCATGTACGGTACTGTGTTCTGTACACAGTACAGTACATGCACGTGGAGCTGTGCATGTACGGTACTGTGTACTGTACACAGTACCGTACATGCACGTGGAGCTGTGCATGTACGGTACTGTGTTCTGTACACAGTACAGTACATGCACGTGGAGCTGTGCATGTACGGTACTGTGTACTGTACACTACATTGCAGTGCAGTACATACATGTGGAGCTGTGCATGCACTGCACTGTACACTGGGCCCGTGCTTTCGCCCATGAGAGTAAACACGGAGGTGGGCTAGAAATGGGACAAGAGTGTTGACACCCAGCATCTGGGCGTGTACACGGGCAGTTGGCGCAACACTGGGTGGAGGTTAATGCGGGCTTTTGCGGTAACACAGTCCAGACACATATACACACCCAGCCACCCATCCGCACCCACCCATACACACCCACCCATACACACCCATACACGCCCGTACACACCCATACGCACCCGTACACACCCGTACACACCTGCGCACAACCACCCAACGGCCACCTACCTATCCACCCATATGCCCACCCACCCATCTGTACGCACCCGGGTACCCGTACATACCCACACCAACCCACCCACCAGCACACACAGACAGACAGACAGACATACACACACACACACACACACACCCACACACACACACACACCCACACACCCACACACACACACACACACACACACACACAGACATACCCACACCAACCCACCCACCAGCACACACACACACACGCACACACACATACACAGACATACATACACACACACACCCAGGCGCGTACGCAGGGTCACCTCTAGGGGGGTTTCCAAGAAAATCGCAAACACTGACTCGTTTAACCCTTTCTAAAGAGCCCTACGAAATTTTCAAAATTATGAATTTTTTCGTGTTCTTTTTAGATCATATTAAACTATTACTTCAGTTCTATTCATTATCTTAGGCTTCCTGGAAGTGGAAAGGTAGACCTACCAGGGAGAGAATGAGTTCGACCATGATAGCCAGGACTCAGTACAGCCATCTACATATCCAGTGCTATGTGCGATAGCGGTAGAGTGCAGCGACGGTGCGAAAAAATGCCCCAAACTGCACTGGGCCGAAGGCCTAAACGCGTCCTGCTCAAGCGATTTCGTTTTTCTTGATCGCAGAGTTTCGATTCTTTTGCTGTGTACTCTTGAAAATATCACACGTGAAGCCCCTGCAAATTTGAGCAAGTCAGCGTGACGAAAAGTCTCAAATTCTCGATACTCGAGAGTCGCACCACGCGCTTTTTGAAATTGCAAGATCGCGGCTCAACTTACGAACGATTTATCTCAAGAGACATTGCTCGCAGCGCGTCGTAAATAGGTTCAACCGATAGCTGAGAGTTTTCTATTCGATCTGGATATTTGGATCGTTGGATTTGAGCGAGATTTGACTGAGTTACGATCTGTTGAAGTTTTGCATTCTTGCCAGATCGATCGTGAGCCCTCCCAAAATATGCCCAAAACCGTTGCTCGTTTGGAACATTTGGGGGGTTTCCGGGCAACGGGAAACCCCCCCTGCGTACGCGCCTGCACACCCATCCACACATACATGCACAGTACATGCACACAGACACAACTTTCTCAGGGCCATTACAACATTCTTGAAACCAAGAGTAGATAAACAAGAGTGTGCAACTCCCGGATGGGTTGGCCCACGGCGGAATTTTTTGTTGACGTAATCTTTGCTACGATCCACGCGCTGCGAGTCTTTTGGAAAGTTTTGCCTCGTGAACTTGGCCGGGCTTTACATTACAAGGTCGGTGCCCAGCACGTGCTCTCACACTGCTCTGCGCCAAGATGCGCGTTTTTCTGAAAAAAAGGTGACGTCAAGAAAAAATTCCGCCGTGGGTGGTATCTGCAGATTGTGCAGGAGAGATCCGGAGTTGTACACTCTTGTTTATCTACTCTTGTTGAAACTAATCATTTTGAGCAGTACAATCAACTATCAGAAATTCAGAACTAATCAAAAACCAAACTACTTCAACCATGTACAGTGAAACCTGTCTAAGGCGACGACCACTCAAAGGACGAGAAAAAGTGGTCGCCGTGGCCAGGTGGTCTTCTTATCCAGGTTCAGTGGGTCACGTGACCATATCCACATGTGACACATCATTTTGATCAGTGTATCACAGTGCACACACCTATGCTACTCTCCGACGACTCATGTACCTGGAGTCCTCAGACCTATCAAGTGTCGTGCATGCACCATGTACTGTAGAGGCAGAAAAATTCGCCGGTCAATAATTTCGTCCAACTCCAAAGAAAAGGAGTTCGTCCGGTTGAAAATTTCGTCCATGGATCATAAGAGTGTAGAGAAAAGCTGGACAAATCGATATTCGTCCTACATTTAATTTAGTCCAAAAGCTCCTTGGACGAAAAAGACGAAATTAAATTCCAGACGAATATTTCTGCTTATACAGTACATCTACTCTTCCTGCACTGATGTGTCGCTCTACCATCCATGGTGCACCATGCAATGCGTACATTTACCGTAAAGTACCGCCAGAGCGCCCCACCATCTCATCCTTTCGTGGTCGTATTGTGGAGGTGGTCTGCTGTCTGTAGGTCATACGACATGAACCTTGTACACATATTGCACGTTTTGCAGTCAATCCGCACCTTCAAGCTGACACAAGCTCCACACAAAAACCGGCCAAGTGTGACCTAAGATTCTCACATCGTACACACTTCGTTGCACTCTGCCATACGATTTTCCTTTCTCTGGCTGTAAAATCAAGGTGGGGCGCTCTCGCGAGACGGGGCGCTCTGGCGGTACTTTACGGTACATGTACATGTACTAGCTCTGTGAAACGCGGTCGCAGGTGGGTGGTCGCGTTGGGCGGTCGCGTTGGGCGAGAGGTCGCCTTATCCGAGCTGTTTTGAATGTGAATGCGTCCGTGACCAGGAAAAGTGGTCGCCATGGTCGAGTGGTCGCCTTATCCGAGCTGTTTTGAATGTGAATGCGTCCGTCACCAGGAAAAGTGGTCGCCATGGTCGAGTGGTCGCCTTATCCGAGCTGTTTTGAATGTGAATGCGTCCGTGACAAGGAAAAGTGGTCGCCATGGTCGAGTGGTCGCCTTATCCGAGCTGTTTTGAATGTGAATGCGTCCATGACAAGGAAAAGTGGTCGCCATGGTCGAGTGGTCGCCTTATCCGAGCTGTTTTGAATGTGAATGCGTCCGTGACAAGGAAAGGTGGTCGCCATGGTCGAGTGGTCGCCTTATCCGAGCTGTTTTGAATGTGAATGCGTCCGTGACAAGGAAAAGTGGTGGCCATGGTCGAGTGGTCGCCTTATCCGAGCTGTTTTGAATGTGAATGCGTCCGTGACAAGGAAAAGTGGTGGCCATGGTGGAGTGGTCGCCTTATCCGAGCTGTTTTGAATGTGAATGCGTCCGTGACAAGGAAAAGTGGTCGCCATGGTGGAGTGGTCGCCTTATCCGAGCTGTTTTGAATGTGAATGCGTCCGTGACAAGGAAAAGTGGTGGCCATGGTGGAGTGGTCGCCTTATCCGAGCTGTTTTGAATGTGAATGCGTCCGTGACAAGGAAATGTGGTGGCCATGGTGGAGTGGTCGCCTTATCCGAGCTGTTTTGAATGTGAATGCGTCCGTGACAAGGAAAAGTGGTGGCCATGGTGGAGTGGTCGCCTTATCCGAGCTGTTTTGAATGTGAATGCGTCCGTGACAAGGAAAAGTGGTGGCCATGGTGGAGTGGTCGCCTTATCCGAGCTGTTTTGAATGTGAATGCGTCCGTGACAAGGAAAAGTGGTGGCCATGGTGGAGTGGTCGCCTTATCCGAGCTGTTTTGAATGTGAATGCGTCCGTGACAAGGAAAAGTGGTCGCCATGGTCGAGTGGTCGCCTTATCCGAGCTGTTTTGAAGGTGAATGCGTCCGTGACAAGGAAAAGTGGTGGCCATGGTGGAGTGGTCGCCTTATCCGAGCTGTTTTGAATGTGAATGCGTCCGTGACAAGGAAAAGTGGTGGCCATGGTGGAGTGGTCGCCTTATCCGAGCTGTTTTGAATGTGAATGCGTCCGTGACAAGGAAAAGTGGTGGCCATGGTGGAGTGGTCGCCTTATCCGAGCTGTTTTGAATGTGAATGCGTCCGTGACAAGGAAAAGTGGTGGCCATGGTGGAGTGGTCGCCTTATCCGAGCTGTTTTGAATGTGAATGCGTCCGTGACAAGGAAAAGTGGTGGCCATGGTGGAGTGGTCGCCTTATCCGAGCTGTTTTGAATGTGAATGCGTCCGTGACAAGGAAAAGTGGTGGCCATGGTCGAGTGGTCGCCTTATCCGAGCTGTTTTGAATGTGAATGCGTCCGTGACAAGGAAAAGTGGTGGCCATGGTGGAGTGGTCGCCTTATCCGAGCTGTTTTGAATGTGAATGCGTCCGTGACAAGGAAAAGTGGTGGCCATGGTGGAGTGGTCGCCTTATCCGAGCTGTTTTGAATGTGAATGCGTCCGTGACAAGGAAAAGTGGTGGCCATGGTGGAGTGGTCGCCTTATCCGAGCTGTTTTGAATGTGAATGCGTCCGTGACAAGGAAAAGTGGTGGCCATGGTCGAGTGGTCGCCATGACAGCCATGACGACAGGTGTTTACTGTACTGTAACTAATCAACAAAGTATTTTAAAAACTGTCTCCGTCTCCAACTCTCACATCCCCGCTTCCTTTCATCTCACAGGTTCAAGTCTGAAGCAGTGTGTGTGTGTGTGTGTGTGTGTGTGTGTGTGTGTGTGTGTGTGTGTGTGTGTGTGTGTGTGTGTGTGTGTGTGTGTGTGTGGGTGTGTGCACGTGCGTATGTTTACCCTGTAGCCTCCCTCTGTCTTGGTGACAATATTGCCTGCGTACATACAGAAGAAAAACACAGCATGCCGCCACGCACACATGTGCACACACACACGCACACACACACGCACACACACACACATACACATACACACACACACACACACACACTCCACATGCACGCACGCACGCACGCACGCACACACACACACACACAGGGTCCACAGTCAGAAAAAACCAAATCAGAACTCCTACAGAACACCACTCAATGTACATTCTTCAGAACAAAGCCAAATGGTTTGTACGGAAGGTAACAGATATACGGTTGCGCTCGGTGAAATCCAACCCAAAGTGCAAAACTGACGCCCTGTGCCAGTTCTGATTACATCATCGTATCTGTACGTTTGTACGTTCAGCCGCATTCGTGCCACTTCCAGGGCGTCAAGAGCCTCGCAAATCGAGGGC